GCTTTTGAACCGTGGTGTTGAGGAAGTCTCTTGAGAGTCCCTTGGACTGCAAGGAGATCCAACCAGCCCATCCTAAAGGCGATCAGTCCTGGGTGTTCATTGGAAGGTCTGATGTTGAAGCTGAAATTCCAATACTTTGGCCACCTGATGTGAAGAGCTGACTCACTGGAAAAGACCCTGATGCTGGGAAAGATTTAGGGCAGGAGGAGGAGGGGACAGAGGATGAGATGGTTGGATGGCATCATCGACTCGATGGACATGGGTTTGGGTGGACTCCTGGAGTTGGTGATGGACCAAGAGGCCTGGCGTGTGCGGCTCATGGGATCTCAAGAGTCAGACACGACTGAGCGACTGAACTGAACTGAACAAGCAATAAAAGAGAGTACCTTTTCCCCCGACATCCTGCCTAACAGTAGCTATTAGCATTCAAAAACTTTTCAGCCACTCTTGGATTCTGAAAATAGCATTTCATTATTTAATTCACACTTTTTATTACTGGGGATGTAGGCATAGAGTGTATTTGTCTGTCAGCCATTTCTATTTTTCCTCCTTAAATCAACTTTACTGATTTAAATACAATAAATTATTAAATTTATTGTATCTGAGCAATTTGTATTACCACAAGAAGCCTCCTTATGCACTTATAATCAGTCTCCCCTCTCCACCTGAACTCAAGCAATCACTAACTTATTTTCTGTAATAATTCATTGCTTTTACCTGATGTTTTAGAATTTGATATAAATACAATACTACAAATATACTTTTTTGTGTCTGAGATCTTTTGCCCATTTCTGTGTTTTTTAACCCCTAAATATTGTTGTATATATTCATAATATACTTCTTTTTATTGATTAGCAGTAATCCATTTGTAGTAATGGACAGTGGATTGTCTATGGGAACATACCATATCCCACATGTGATATTGTTCTACATGTTTGTAAAATGTTCCTATTGGGGGAAATTATATAAAAGTACACAGTATCTCTCTATATTATTTCTTGTACCTCCAAGTGAATCTACAATTACCTTGAAAGAAAAGCTTAATTTAAAAATCTCATTATAGTCATTTTCATAGGTGATATATTACTGAATGCATTCTTGAGAAGTGCATATTCTTATAAACATATTTCCCTAATGAATGAGAATATATGAGAGAAGAGTTCTCATTAACTTGGCACCAAAGTAATTGCAGTCTGCCTTGTTGAAATTTGTTGTTTGATATTGGAATACATTCTTATTAATATCAGTCTATATTCTTGTGTCCCTCAACCTCCAGCCATTCTACACTGTCAGGCTACAGGTGCTAAAGAAGGGTGACAAATTTAGCATTCCTTATCAATTAACATTTCTTTACTGAAATTATAACTTTTAACAAAAATATTTCAATATTTTTTAAATATTGAAGCCTAGTTGATTATGCCTTATGGTGAATAACTAATAATAAGTAATTTTCATAATGATAGTGACTAATGATGATGAAGGCAATGACTGAGGTGGTCGCGGCTGTGGTGGTAGTGGTGCTGCTGATGATGATGATGGAGTTATTGGTGGTAAATTACTTAAATGGAAGGACTAAATGCTAAGTTTCTCAAGCAGCAAGTTGACTTCCCCAATAAAAGGAAAATTAACACATCTGGGAAAAAAAGAAAAAAAAAAAAAAACGTGGTTCCCAGCACAGATGTAAACCAAGACTCTAATTGCTCTTTACTGAGAACTCCAGTCTCTGAAGTAACTACATCCCAGGAGAAGTTCTGCCTCTATATATAAAAAGACTCTTCCCAAGTTTCCCAATCCCAGGGACCTATTATTCATGATAGTGCCAGCCCCTTTGAGTAAATTTAGGACTAGATATAAATCTATATGGTCCTCTTATTTCCTGATATTTATTTCCTGACTGTTGAAACCAAGTCTTTCACTAATATTTCTGGGAGATTATGTTTCATTTTTCCTTAGCACAGGTACTTAATTATGATTTAAAGCAACTATATCAGAAAAATATTTCGTTCATTAACTTCTGTATCTAATGAAGCTATTTTCAACCATATGTTTACCTTCATCTCTAAGTAATTTTTCCTTGTGTGCTGTGTTCTTATGGGCAGCAATCTTGAACCTCTGCTGGTCTGGAAGAACTGGAGATAATAATTGTGGTGACTGATATTAAGTGTGGGGTCATATTTTCCTATTTTATATTACTAGATGGTATGGGAATCAATAACTAAGTCAATGCTGTCTAGGATTTTCCCATCTGCACGACACTCAATGAAAGCTGTTTACTGTCCTGCTCTGAGAAGCACTTTGATTTCTGGTAATGGTGTATTCTAGGTGGATTTTCTATGTTTCTTAATATTTTAAGGGGTGGAAACTGAATAGAAGGGGATATATAGATATGATATTTTCAATCTGTTGTTGCTACTAGAGGAATTTTTCTCCTTTGTAATAAATGAAAATAATATCTAAAAATCTTAGCTATCTCTGACAGTAGTTATTATGAAGTTAACAATTGAACCACCAATAATGTAACATTTAAAGTTTTCAGTGCAATGCAGCTTTTCTTGTCTATATCCCACATCTTAAGGATTTAAAGACTCTTATACCTACAAAAGGGCATCCAGTGGTTCAATGGTAAAGAATCCACCTGCAATTCAGGAGCTGAAGGCCACACGGGTTCAATACCTGGGTCAAGAATATGCCTGGAAGAGGGCATGGCTACTTGCTCCAATATTCTTGCCTGGAGAATTCCATGGACAGAGGAGCCTGGCTGATTATAGTCCATAGTGTCACAAAGAGTCGGACACAAGTGAAGTGACTGAGCAAGCACTCATATACCTAGAGAAACATATATAGCTAGTGCCAGAGTTATTACTGTTATAGGAATCAAATGAGATGATGTATTTAAAGCACTTACATTAGAAGCAGGTTAAACATGTTTTTTAAAAAACTATATATATGCTTATACACATGTATTATATATATATACACTTAAATACATGTATGGAGTAGGAAATGGTGACTCACTCCAGTATTCTTGCCTGAGAATTTCTGGGACAGAGAAGCCTGGCAGGCCACAGTCCATGCAGTTGCAAAGAGCTGGACACAACTGAGTGACTGAGCACAATACACATGTAAGTACATATATGCATCAAAAAATCTAAAATGATAGTCATGAATGCTGCTAGCCTACAAGGAGCAAGAAAATGGTATTGTATTTTTGCTTATTTGTGTTTCTGATTTTCTACAATGCACATATACTGCCTTGATACCTTTTTAAAATACGTCTGAAACTGACAATAAAATCTATCCTCTATGTCCAAAATTCAATATATTAAGTTTACTAAGTAATAATAAAGTGCTACACACAAAATAACCTACAGCAAAGCAACACAGTTCACTGACAATGAAACACACTGGTGGTCAGAAGTATGAGGTTTTAGACCCAGTTCCGTGTCTTGCTTGGCTTTATGACTTAGGGTAGTTGAATTTTTAGGCTTCATTTTCCTAGAGAAGAGGGAAATAATAGCATTCATATTTTTTATATGCTGTGCACAAGCTAACACATCCAGTGTAAAACACATTCCACCACAACATTGCTCCAGGCAGATTTCTAAGGCTACACACTTGGGCCAAGGGAAGAGCTCATGATCAGAGGAAAGCAAGTCCTTGATAATTAGGAAGCCTTTTGTCTGGCACTGTGGTTTTCTCAATGTGAACATGGGTTTAAAACTTTTGCTCTTAGACATATTTATCTACATACCCAAGATTTGTGGGAGAAGTTAATGAGACTGACCTCTGAAGAGCATTATACAAAAGATAGTAACTGTATAAGTAAGCAATTAAAACAGTGAAAATTAAAGGGTTTTAGCTTAAGAAATACTTGTCAGACAAGGGATATCTATAGATATACTCAGCAATGATAATCCATGCTTCTTACAGATGCATGTCTGTAATTTCAGTACTTTGTCATTAAGGAGATAATGGGGCCATGGTTTGATATTATTATCTGAAAATAGACCTAAAAATAATAATAATAATATTGAGAACTTCCTCTAGACTATAGAAGGTACCACAGCCCAGGCTTCATGACAGATATATTTTAATGAGAACCTCTGTGAGTGGAAAGCAACCATCATTACTTTTTAAATGCTCCAGGTGATTATAAACACAAGAAATGTTGAGAACAATTGCCTTGGGCATGATGCAAAAAAAATCTAAGAACAAATTCCAGACACACAATGACAACTCACATTTTTATAGGAACTAACTTCTTGAAAAAATATTTCTAACTATGCAATATCCCATACTACTTTTACAATCAACTTTGGAATTAGTATCACTATTATTAATATCATCATCTTTCAGTTACAGAAATTGACCTGTAACTAAAAGATACAGATATAGTAACCATTTCACCCTAGTACTGCATCAATTTGAGATAAGTATTCATATGTTCAAAATAAATGAATACTTAAGACTTGCATATACCACAGAGAAATTTCATTTCTGAAGCAAATACATCTCCAGCTACAAAATATGAATTCTATGTTTATTACCTACAGGATTGAAGTTTTCAGGTTTGAGCCTGCATCAGCCTTTCCTGGAGACAGTATGATACACAGATCACTGCGTCCCATCCCAGAGTCCCTGACTTGGTAGGTCTGGGGTAAGGCCTGAGAATCTGCATATCTGATGTCTTCAAGTGACGCCAATGATGCTGGCCCAGGGACTAGACTTTAAAACTCACTAAGATATTTCAGAAACGTGAATGTTGTAAAAGTTCTAGATCTTGCCCCCTTTTTCTCTCATCTCCATGATCTTTGAAATACCTGGCGTCTGGTCTTCCTCCCAAAAAAAAAAAAACAGGAGGATAAACGAGCATTCATCAGGAAGGATCCCAGGATCGCTCAGCTGGCCTTAGATGCACAAACTAGTTTGATCAAACAAAGCATGATGTGGGCTTTCACAGAGATCTTCATTTCTGTCCCCACAGGACACCCAACAAGAGGAGAATGGTTGCAGAAAATCACTCCACAGTGACAGAGTTCATTCTTGGAGGTTTAACAAATCAACCAGAGCTCCAGCTCCCCCTCTTCTTCCTCTTCCTTGGGATCTACTCTGTCACCATGGTAGGGAACCTGGGCGTGATAACACTGATTTGTCTGAATGCTCAGCTTCACACCCCCATGTACTATTTCCTCAGCAACCTGTCCTTCGTGGATCTCTGCTACTCCTCTGTCATCACCCCTAAGATGCTGGTGAACTTTGTGTCAGAGAAGAACATCATCTCCTATGCAGGGTGCATGTCGCAGCTCTACTTCTTCCTGGTGTTTGTCATTGCTGAGTGTTACATGCTGACAGTGATGGCCTATGACCGCTATGTTGCCATCTGCAGACCTTTGTTTTACAACATCATCATGTCTCATAGAGTCTGCTCCCTGCTGGTGGCTGGGGTTTATGCCATAGGATTCATTGGTTCAACCATAGAGACTGACCTCATGTTGAAACTGTCCTATTGTGATTTCCTTATCAGTCATTACTTCTGTGACATCCTCCCCCTCATGACGCTCTCTTGCTCTAGCACCTATGACACTGAGATGACAGTCTTTGTTCTGGCTGGATTCGACATTGTAGTCACCAGCTTAACAGTCTTAATTTCCTATGCCTTCATTCTGTCCAGTATCCTCCACATCAGCACCACAGGGGGAAGGGCCAAAGCCTTCAGCACGTGCAGCTCCCATCTTGCCGCTGTGGGGATGTTTTACGGAACAACTGCATTCATGTACTTGAAACCCTCCACGGCCAGTTCCCTGGCCCAGGAGAACGTGGCCTCCGTGTTCTACACCACAGTGATCCCCATGCTGAACCCCCTGATCTACAGCTTGAGGAATAAGGAGCTGAAGGCTGCCATGCAGAAAACTCTGAGAGAAAAATGTTTTGATACAAATTCTGTTACCCTTTTTCAATTTTAAAAATAAGTTGTTTGGGATCCCAGAGGGAAGCCCCTGAATGCTCCCCACCCGGGGTGGGAAACCCTCCCTTCTCTGCACAGCTGGGTGACTGCACCTGCCTCTTTCCCTCTTCCTTTGCCCCCTCCTCATTCTCTACCTCATTTCTATATGAAGCTAGCTGATATCAAGTTCTTTTTTTATTATTTGGGGTCTATTTTCCTTTTTCTGTCCCTTTGGTAAACTCTATTATCTCTATTGTAATTTAACACAAATTTTAGACTTTCACAGGCTCATAGATATAGAGAAAAAACCAGTGATTACTACCAGGGAGAGGAAAGGAGGGAAGGCAAGATAAGGGTAGGGTATTAAGAGACACCAACCGCTACATATGAAATGAATAGGTAACAAGGATGTATAGTACAGCACAGGGAAATATAGCCATTAGTTTACAGTAACTTTAAATGCAATAAAGTATAAAAATATTGAATCACTTCTTATATATCTGAAACTAATTTAATATTGTAAACCAGCCATACTTCAATAAAAATTAAACTTTAAGCATTGAGTTTGAAAGTCAACCACTTTTCTATTATCTTCTATGTAGAAAATATTACTCAATTTAGTTCCTCCTTTTTGCACTTGGGAGTATACAAGGCAAAGAGAGGTGGATTAAAAGTCACCAACAAGTGATGCCCAGAGCATTTCTCATCTAGACTTCCTCCTCTCCAATCTCTCACTCCTTTCTCCTGATCTCTACCAAAGGACTTGTACTTGATTCCTTTATGTGACTTTCTTAGTAACAATAATAGTAATGCCAGCCACCAACATGTTTGGGGAGGCTTACTCTGAGCTAAGCAACTCTTCTAAATGCATTACATGCATGATTTCAATGACACCTCACAACAGTTTGGTGTATTGTTTTCCCCATGTCATTGTGGAAAGTGGAAACTTGGTTTAGTAACTTTCTCAAGATCACACAGCCGGTAAACAAAGACACTGAGATTCAAACCCAAGTCTAAGTGACTTCAGAACTCACACTCTTAGCTCTCAAACGTCCCCTTTGCTTTAGGCTGGCACATCACCTTCTGAACAGCCTGCCCTTTCAATTTCACATGCCTCCTAAAATCAGTTCCTCAGATCCCCACCTTTGGGCATCTGCCCTAGCCCCTTCCTATTTGTAGACTTCTTCGGTAGAACTAAGGGAAGATTACACTAGAGTGACACTCTGGTTTGCCTGGCACTTCACCACTTTTAGCACTGGAAGCCCACACCCTGGAAAATCCCTTGGTCCCACACAAACCAAGACGGTTGGTCACCCAGATTATCCATTGCTGCAAGCCCTCTTGTCCTGCTTAATTAACTCAGAGATCTACTGCCAGCCTCACCCAGTAAATCCAGTGGCAATGAGACAAAGTTTCTCCCCACTCCCCTTGCTTTATGCCAATATCAAGGATACATGTCTTAGACTCAGCGGCCTGATATAATGCAAACACCTTGTACAGTGTAGATATCTTCTTGTCATTTCTAGCTAGTTTGGGTATTCTATTGTTTATATCAGTGGTTTATTAATGGGAAACTGAAATAACTCTAGTTTTCTCAAGCAGAAATGGCATTAACAGAGGAAATGACTTGGTAAGTTTTTTTGAATGACTACAGAAAGGGTGAGGATGCCCCTCAAAGTGACTCCACAACAGATGTGATCTACTCATCAAGAAGCTCCAGCTTCCACTGTGATCAATGCCACCCTGACAAGTGGCCCTCATACTCACAAAATCAGTAAACAGTAACTGAACCCAGGGATTGAACATCACCTGGCAATTTGTTACAGACACAAACTTGAGGTTCCTGCTCCACACCTACAGAATTACGGGGTAGGCCCCAGCAATCTATATTTTAATAGATCTCCTATTGATTATGATATACACTAAAAAGTGAGATCCTCCTTGCTCCCACTCTTAAAATTTCACACAAAAAAACATTTAATTAGTGAGAACTAATTCACTTTGGCCACCTGATGTGAAGATCCTACTCACTGGAAAAGACCCTGCCAGGAAAGATTGAGGGCAGGAGGAGAAGGGGACAACAGAGGATAAGTTTGTTGGATGGCATCACTGACCCAATGGCCATGAGTTTGAGCAAATTCCAGGAGATTTGCTCCTGGCATGCAGCAATCCATGGGGTCACAAAGAATCAGACATGACTTAGCAACCGAACAACAGGAAAATTCACATCCATGACTATAGCTACAATGCAATTTGGAATACGGAGTTTTTAGCTTCTTAACCTGACTAGAAGGAGGATAGAATGGATATTGAGAGAGCCATTCCAAAGTGTCTACTCTACCTATTTTTCATGGGGAGGAGGGCACCCCAGACCGAAGTGTAGTGTTATAATAATCTGTTTTGAATCTTATGCCCCTGCACCATCTTCCTGCTGAAATGAAAAAAAAAAAAAAAAATTGGCCATGAGTTTGAGCAAATTCCAGGAGATTTGCTCCTGGCATGCAGCAATCCATGGGGTCACAAAGAATCAGACATGACTTAGCAACCGAACATCAGGAAAATTCACATCCATGACTATAGCTACAATGCAATTTGGAATATGGAATTTTAGCTTTTTAACCTGACTAGAAGGAGGATAGAATGGATATTGAGAGAGCCGTTCCAAAGTGTCTACTCTACCTATTTTTCATGGGGAGGAGGGCACCCCAGACCGAAGTGTAGCATTATAATAATCTGTTTTGAATCTTATGCCCCTGCACCATCTTCCTGCTGAAATGAAAAAAAAAAAAAAAAAACACTTCTTTTTCCTGCTTTTCTTACACATTTTCCTGTTTATTTGAATATATAACAATTTTTTATATGATGCTGCAGATTTGTTGACTTTCTTAACTGTTTTTTCTTTAAAATGTCTTTAAGCTTATTTTGGCAGCCAGTTAAGCTACTTGAGTGTCTTGATGTTTCTGAGGCTTAATATTTAAGTTTTTTTAGTACATATCAAGTATAGCTTTTATTCTAGAACAAATTTAGCACTAATGTTAAGATATAAAACTTCTGAGCACTCTAGGGAATGCTACAGGTTTTAAAGGTGATCTCCTTACTGGCTTATTGTTAGTCAGTAAGTCTTGTCTGACTCTTTGCAACCCCATGGACTGCAGCATGCCAGGCTTCCCTGTCCATCACTATCTCCCAGAGTTTCCTCAAACTCATGGCCATTGAGTTGGTGATGCCACCCAACTAACTCATCCTCTGTCACCCTCTTCTCCTATTGCCCTCAACCTTTTCCAGCATCAAGATCTTTCCCAGTGTGTTGGGTCTTCACATCACGTGGCCAAACTACTGGAGCTTCAGCTTCAGCATTAGTCCTTTCAATGAATATTCAGAGTTCCCAGACCTGTGTAACTCTGATAATCAAATACTAGCTTAAAGTTTCCAGGTATTTATTCTTTGCCCAACTTCATGGAGATCTATCTTAGAAACATGTGGCCTAGACAAAACTCAGACAAAGACACAAGAACTCATTTCTGTCCTTCTTCCCCTGTGGCTTCCTATGCTTCATTGCTCATTCCAACTACTTCCACCTCCAACATTTTGCTCCACTCTTCTCAACTCATCAAAAATGTTGTCCTTTGTTTTCATATACCTTCTTTGGGCCATGATCTAGAAAGTGTCCCCAGACAAATAGGATAAATATAAAGCTCCTGTCATTTGTTCCTCTTCTGTCTTGGGTCATAATTCAGCATCAATGTTGTCCAATGTCTGAAAGCACTTATTTTATATATATCATCCAGTTTTTAATTGCTTGTGGTGGATGGCTTATGGAAAGAATACAATTCAGTCCATAGCACACACCCACAAGTGAAAGAATATTATTACATTCTACAAAAATGAGTTAAGACACATTTCAAAAATTATACAAGGTGTGAAAGAATAACAAAACTCAGAAAATGCAATAATTGTACAATAGCTCAAGAAATTACTGGAAATAAAAGGAAAAATAATTTAGGAAATTAAATTGAATTAGAAGTAATAGAAGAGCCAATAAACACAACAGATGATACTTTAGGAGAACCAGAAGGTGGAAAGGGGGGTACCTGTGTCTCTTGTATCTCCTGAATTGCAGGTATATTCTTTACCACTGCGCCACCTGGAAAGCCCTTGAAATACCATATCAGGACTAAAAGTAACCAAGTTTCTTGGAGAAATGGTTGATTTCTAGTCTGAAATTTATGAAAGAAGTTCAGAACATTTGTCACATCAGCTAGTAATTAATATTAGAGACTAACTGTACTGTGTCCAAAAGACTTAAGAGACAAACTGAAAAGAATTCCACAGGCCAAAGACTGAAAATTTTGAGCAACAAAAGGATAATAATTTCAATGGAAAAAAATAATAATTTCAATGGACTGAAACACATAAGATATGATTAAATTAGTGAGATTATAAAGATACTACCCAAAAAAATAACCAATCATCTTTAGAATATAATAAGAAACCAAGTTATTTTAAAATTAAAAAATGAAGGTAATATGCTTTTATATGAACTGTGGTGGTGTATACTCAAATTTGTGCATGTAAAAAATTTGCAGTGAAGTAAATGTACACACCAAGAAACAATTATAAATAAAACTGAGGAAATCATAATAAGATCAGTGGATTGTCTATGGCAATATGTGGTATTCCACATATGATAATTTGGAAAATATTACCATTGCAGAAAACTGCATAAAGGGTACACAGGATCCCTCTGCATTATTTCTCAACCTACATGAGAATCTACAATTATCTTAAGAGGAAAAGTCTAATTTGAAAATCATCATTAGCAACATTTTCATAAATGATATATTCCTGAATGTATTCTTGACAACTGCATATTCTTATAAACATATTTCTGTTATGAAAGATAATATATGAGTGAAGAGTTCTTATGTCTACCTACTTATGCACCTTAACTCCTGCCATTCTAACACTGTTGGTCTACAGGTGTAGCAGCGGGGTGACAAATTTGGCATTCCTTATAAA